AGGGTGGAGGGACAGTGCAGGAGGGGAAGACCCTCTATGAGATGGATTGATTCGGTGACTGGGGTAATCGGGATGGGCGTGTCAGAAGCAGTGCGGTTGGCGCAGTATAGAGCAGGGTTTAGGGCTGTTGTGCATAGGGTCGCTATGAATCGGAAACGACTCGACGGCACATAACAACAACAATAACAGAGGGAAGTTTGTTTTTAGTCCACTAAGTAGCCACAGTGTTGGTTTGTTGTTGTTTTTTAAAAAAGTATATATTTTAAATTCTGAAAGAAAAGTACCTATAAGGCATTATTATTATTTACTCAAAAAATAGAAGCTATTTTTGCCCACTTTCATTTCCAATACCTATTAAAATAAGAGTGAAATGAATGTCCTATTCCAAGAAAACTGATCATCTCTCAATTCCAAAAGATTTTTTTTTTCATATTTGCACTGTTTGAATTTGTTCTTCAGCTTAAGAAATTCAGAGCGAGTTCAGCTCTTTTGATTTTCTGACTCCAGATCCTTGCACATTTCATTGTAATAAACACCTCCACAAGGTACTGAGGAGCAATGATGTCAATCTGGAGATTAAGGAGCTCCTGATACAGACCATGATCTTTGCAATTACTTGCTATGCATCAGAGAGCTGGACAATGACTAGGGATGATAGAAGTAGAGTTGATGCCTTTGAACTTTGGTGCTGGAGAAGCGTATTGAGTATACCATGGGACTGCTAGGAAAACAAACAAGTTCATCCTAGAGAGGGTGAAACCAGACTGCTCCTTGGAGGCAAGGATTCTGAAGCTCTGTCTCACATACTTTGAAAATGTTGCAAGGAAGGACCAGTCCTTGGAGAGGAACATCATGCTTGGGAGGGTTGAGAGACAGCACAAGAGAAGAAGACCCTAGATGAGATGGATTAATTCAGTCCCTGGGGTAATGGAGATGGGCATGTTGGCAAGTGGTAGAACCGGGTTTAGGGCTGTTGTACATAGGGTCTCTGTGAGTCACAAGCGACTCGATGGCACATAACAACAACAATTTACGCTGTTATTTATCACTTTCTCTGTATCCACCACTAATTATAGAAGAAGTTTTCAAAAATTATAAGGAGTTTGTTTTACAGCATTTTGCTTTTATATGAGAACTATCCATTTCATTCTATACCTCAACAGACTATTTAATCCCATATAAATGGAAGGGTCACACGAAATGGAAGGTAGTCTCTTAGCTGGTTAAGTAAACTCTCACAGCATAGAACAATGGATCTTGCCATTACAATCCAGCAAGATCATCAGTAAATACTAGATGGCTGAAGACTTTGTTTCCCATTTCAGGTTTTGTTTAAGATGTTTCTTGGAAGTGCCAACTTTGGTGAAGCAGCTCATTTTGTCTCCACCTTGGGTTTCTTCAATTTGATCTTCATCTCCTTCACCCCAGTCATCCTGTATTTCACCAAGGTGGAGCACTGGTCTTCCTTTGCAGCTCTGCCGTGGGGCTGTCTCTGTGGAATGGCAGGACTGTGGCTGGGTAAGTGGCCCCAAGTTTTCTTTCCCATTTCCTCTGTTACTCATTCCACTTTTTCTTGAATGATTGATTCTCAAAGTAGGTTTGATCCCCTGGTTGCCTACACCTGTTCTTTATTTCACAAACTCACTTCGTTGTTATTGGTGCCATTAAATCATAATACCTCTTTGTACAACAGAAACCAACCCTGTCTGGTTCTGTGCTTCTCACAGTCTCTGACGTGCGTACACCTATTGTTGCCCTCGCTGTGTCAGTCCATCTTCTTGAGGGTCTTGCTCCCTCTCAGACTTTCTATTTTTCAAACATGATGGCTTTCTTCAGAGACTTGGTCCTTCTGATAAAGTGCCCCAGTGTGTTAAAGGTCCCACTGTTCTTGCTTCTAAGAATCACATTGGCTTTAGAAGATTCTTTGCATACAATTGCTTAATTGTATCAGAGTCATGCAAGTGGTGCCTCGCAGCTGGAGGCCATGGTGAGAGAGTGGATGGTGCATTCAATAACTCAGGGTGGTTCAAAGTTACTTGACTTTAGCAATTAAGGTTTATTTTGGTAGGTAAGTTTCTTTCCATGCCTTTTATTAGAAATAGGCTTATTTTATTAGCTAGTATTTATTTATATTATTTACCCTTAATATTGTGTTTATCATGGACTGCTAGGAGAACAAACAAGTTCATCCTGGAAAGGGTGAAGCCAGGCGGCTCCTTAGAGGCAAGATTCTGAAGCTTCGTCTGACATACTTTGGACATGTTGCAAGGCAGTATCAGTCCTTGGAGAGGGATGTCATGCTTGAGTGGGTGGAGGGACAGTGTAGGAGAGGAAGACCCTCGATGAGATGGATTGATTCCGTCACTGGGGTAATGAGGATAGGCGTGTCGGAGACAAGATTGGCAAGGGATAGAGCAGGGTTTAGGGCTGTTGTACATAGGGTCACTATGAGTCACAAGCGACTGGACAGCACATCACCACCATCATAAAAACAATCCTTAATAAAAAGTAATTAAATTTATGTTAGACCATTTAAAAGTACCTTTAACAACTAGTGATAATACTGTATTTGTCAAAATCACTAGGGCAGTATCCAGCAAAGGAATTTAACCAACGACAAGAATGAGAGATTTTTTAAAATATGCCAGAAGGCCAGCTAATTGCACATCAACCATCCTGACACTAATTCCTTCCTTTCATTTAATTATTAAATGTTATTGGTAATTAACTCCCAGAGATTATTAACTTTTGGCTACACTCATGGTCCAGATTGTGTTAGTGCTACTTCTTATTTATATCATTGTATTTACAATTATAAAATGCATAATCAATTTTCCTTCTAGAATTTACATCCACACCATGGAATCAAGCAATGGACGAGGTTTAAAGCAACCGCTTACTCAAGTTTCATCTTGAGTTTTATTTAGAAGCATCCCATGTGTCAAGTTGTTCCTTTCAATTTGACCTTGGTCTACCATATCCCCCAAACAAAATATCACTGCAGCACAGCATTTAAGAAAGGCTTGTAAATAACAGTAACTATCTATATCTTACACAAGCAAGTTCCTGCAGAAGAAGTTACGCCTTTGTGTGAGATTAGAAAATGAATTGGGAAAACAGCTCACCTGGAAGATAGGAAGCCGAGGTAAACCAGTAACTGTCAACACTGCTCCAAAATGGGATCGTCAAATTCCTAGAGGAATTCCTGATCAAAAGTGTGATCTGTTAAGTGCCATGGGGGAGACTAAAATACCCAGCAACTATATAAACAATTGCAGAAAATGCTGCCAGTCCTATGCCATCCTCATGATCTCTGCATGCCCAAGCCCATCATTGCGGTCACCACATCAATCCATCTCTTTGAGGATCTAGGAAATGAATAAAAGGCATTCTCAAATTGAATTTCTTGACATAACTGAGACTTCCAACTAAGATCTAGATCTAAACCCCGTACATTTTGCCTTATGAGGCTTCATTTTGGATTTTTTACATCCCAACAATGCAGACTGTCACTTCTACAGAAGTTTTCATTGCATCTTTGACCTAGACATGAGAAGTTCTGCAGAAAAAAAATATGATTTTGCTTGCCTTAACCACAAAAGTGTTAATGAGAACAAGTTGTGCTTAAACATCAGAGAGATGCACTTCGAATTAGAATGTAATGGTCAATGTTGTTACCATTGTTAGGTGCCACAGACTTGGCCCTAACGTGCAGCGATCCTGCATGTACAGCAGAATGGAGCACTGGTCCTGCGCCTCCTCACAGACTTCCGGTGTCTGAGCACACTTTTCCAGCTGCTGTGTCAGTCTGCCATGTTGGGATCTTCGTCTTTTTCACTGATTCGATTTTACCAAATGTGATGTTCTTCTGTAGGGATCGGTTCATCCCATAACACATCCAAACACATGAGATGAAGTCTTACCACCCCGCTTCTCAGGAGCATTCTGGCTGGACTTCTTCCAGGACAGATGTGTTTGTTCTTCTGCTGGTCTATGTGGTCCACAAATGTTCTTCGCAAACACGATAATTCAAAGGCATCAATTCTTGTTCTGTTTTCTTCATTCATTGTTTAACTCTTGTGTGCACCTGCTCATTCACTCAATCTCATTGCTGAGTTGGAATCAATTCATAGATGACCCTCCATCAGATTTTCAGAGGCTGTAAATTGCCTGGGAGGAGATTGTCCATCCTCCTCCTGAGAAGCAGCTGGGGGTTTAAGCCACATTCCTTTGGGTTGGCAGTAAACTCCCTAATCACTAGGCTATCAGAACTCCCTGAGAGGTGGTTAAAAAGGCCATAGTTTTGTCTAAATGCACCTTAGGCCTCAAAGTGAGACTTGCTTATTGCTTTCTTTTATAAAAACCCTTTCCTCCCCTTGCACATAAGAATAAATCAACTTGTCGTTTCATCCTTTCAACAAATTCCTTGCTTTCACATTTTAACAGAACCACTGATGTAAAGCAGATCTTACTCCATTATGTTCTTTTGACCATTTCTCTAACCTGTTTTGGCTTTGCTAAGCTCAAGACAATGAGTAGGGACGATGGAAGGAGAATTGATGCCTTTGAGCTCTGGTGCTGGAGAAAAGTATTGATTATTTTGGCTCCACAGTCAACGCTCTTGGTAACAGCAGCCAGGAAATCAGGAGATTAATTGCATTGGGAAAATTGGCTGTGAGGGACCTCTCAAGAGTACTGAAGAGCAACAATGTCAGGCTGGAGACTAAAGTGTGCCTGATCCGGGCTATAGTCTTCGCAATTATGTGCTATGCATCAGAGAGTTGGACAGCGAATAGGGCTGATAGAAGGAGGATTGATGCGTTTGAGCTCTGATGCTGGAGAAGAGTGTTGAATATACCATGGACTGCTAGGAGAACAAACAGGTTTGCCCTGGAGAGGGTGAAGCCAGAGTGTTCCCTGGAGTCAAGGATTCTGAAGCTTAGTCTGACATATTTGGGGCATGTTGCAAGGAGGGACTGGTCCTTGGAAAG